CCCAAGTATTTTGAGGTGTGGGAAGCTGGATGTAAAAACACCATTAAAAACAACTCTTTTCAATGGCTTCCTAAGGTTGGCTGGGCGAAATGGCAGTTTCTGGATGCTCCGTGGCACATTACACTGCCCCTTTCTTCATATTTTTAGAAATTAAATCAGCTGATGGCAATATTGAATTCCAGGTAATTTTCTTTCTTTTCTTTTCTTTTTTTTTTTTGAAACGGAGTTTTGCTCTTGTTGCCCAGGCTGAAGTGCAATGGCACAATCTCCGCTCACCACAACCTCTGCCTCCCAGGTTCAAATGATTCTCCTGCCTCAGCCTCCTGAGTAGCTGGGATTACACGAATGCGCCACCATGCCCGGCTAGTTTTTGTTATTTTTTAGTAGAGATGGGTTTCCCCATGTTGGTCAGGCTGGTCTCGACCTCCTGATCTCAGGTGATCCACCTGCCTCGGCCTCTCAAAGTGCTGAGATTACAGGCATGAGCTACCATGCCCAGAGAATTCCAATTTTTATGGTGAATGAATTCCACTCATACTGTTCTTCAGTCTGCCCAACAGATATTACATAACACATTTGTGTGCCATGATGGGCCTTACATATATTGACTCATGTAATTCTCACAACTTTATAAGGTGGTATTAGTCCGATTTTCACACTTCATGAAATTGAGGCACAAAAGTATGTCAGGCCTCTGCTCAAACTGAGTAGTTTTCCTGTCACACTTCAGTGTGGCCTATAGGCCCTAAGTGATCTAGCCTTTTCTTATATTGTCTTCCACTCTCATCCTTGTTCACAGAGCTCCAGCAATTCTCATGTTTGGAGGTCCGCAAGGCAAAACTCAACTTTATTTCCTGTTCCCTTAGTATGGAAAGCTATTTCCCTATCTCTGTGTGTCTTGCTTTTTACATCATTGCTCTGCTTTCCTCAAAAACTTTCCCCTTTTATCCCCATCACTGTCCTCATTTTGATTCTTCATATGCATTTATCCTTTCCTGATTTTATACTGTTTATCTTTTTATGGTTTGTTTTCCCCTCTAAAACATAAATTCCATGTGGGTGAGGGCTTTGTTCAGTCCTACTTTCCTAGGCCCTAGAGTCAAACCAGTATTGGGTGAGTGGATACTGAATGAAGCTTTAACTAAGTGTTTTGTCTTTTAGTTAGTTTCAGTGGTTAAATCTCAGAAAGCTTAACAGCAATTCTAAGCATGTCTTTATGATAAAAGGTTAAAAACTGTATTATTGGGATAATTTTTCTCTTTTTATTAATGTTTACCTACAAGTCCGTGGAAAGTATACTCAAAAGATAGCAGACCAGGTAGGCTTAAGTTACTTTTACAAAACAGTAGAAATACCTTCAACTATTTAGCACTGATGAACTTACAACTGAGGACATGTCGACTCCACTAAGAAACTAATGATGAAATTCATAATTGGGCATGGTGGCACATGCACCCAGCTACTCAAGAGGCTGCAGCTTGAGTCCAGGAGTTCAAGGCTGCAGGGAGCTATAATCATGCCACTGTACTCCAGCCTGGGAGACAGTGAGAACTTGGCTCTTAAAAAAAAAAAAAAAGGGAAAAAAATTGATAATGACAATTTATAATGGTCAGTCCTATCTACCAGTCTAAATGAATGTTTAAAAATTTTCATATACTGCACAGAAGTAGATGCAGTCTTAATGCTAGGTAAGGGTAAACAAGCTGAAATAGCAGCCAGTGACTTCAGAGACCATGAAACCAAAGTTAATCTTCTAAGTCCTTTTAATTGTTCTTATAAACTAGCATAAGATACAAACTTAAGTAGTACACATGAGTTTTATAATTTACTAATCTCTGGCAGATAGCTAAGCATAGCACATCAGAGTGTAACACAGTGTGAGGGAAGTAAAGTATACAATGACATCTTCTATTCTGGACCTACAATTCAATAGAGAAAGAACTACTTGTAGTCACTGTGGTTACAGAAGGTTTCATGGAGACATTGAAGATAAAGCTCTACTTAGTAACAAATAGGTCTTAAATGATAAAAATGTGGGCCTTCGAAGAACTAAAGATACCTATGTGTGGCAGTCCAGAAATTACGAGGAAAATGACTTCCCTTCATGGGTCACATCAGCAATTTTTTTTTTCCCTTTTGAGACGGAGTCTCGCTCTGTTGCCCAGGTTGGAGTGCAGTGGCGTGATCTAGGCTCACTGCAACCTCCGCCTCCCGGGTTCAAGCAATTCTCATGCTTCAGCTTCCCGAGTAGCTGAGATTACAGGTGCCCGCCATCACGGCTGGCTAATTTTTGTATTTTTAATAGAGACAGGGTTTCACCATGTTGGCCAGGCTGGTCTCAAACTCCTGACCTCAAGTGATCTGCTTGCTTCAGCCTGCTAAATTGCTGGGATTACAGGCATGAGCCACCGCACCCGACCTCATGTACAGTATCTTATGGTATCTTGTCCACTCAGAGGCAAGCAGAAGAAATATTTAGCTCCATTTTATAACTTGATTTCCATTCCACTAT